TTTTTTTTTTAGCTATAGGATGTGGTGTTTCTGGCAGAGTCGCGGTCACAGAGCAGCCTCTCTTGCTGTGCAGCTGCTGTCCCACCAGCGCCCCGGCAACCCCTGACTCAGCACTCCGGCGCAGCGATGCGGCTCCGGGGGGAGCAGACTTCGCAACCACCGCGCCCGAGGGGTCTCGCTGCTGTTCCCACCCCTGCATCGCTCTCTGGATGCTTTGGCAAGCAACGCAACSCCCCTCGCTTGCCCTCACCTCCCCTCTCTCGGCCAATGGGACCCCCCCGGCGTTCCCCGCCCGTGTTCAGCCCCCTCCCAGCCCGGCGCAGCTTTCCCCGCCGCCAGCCCGTTACTGTCACGACACAGAGCAAACGAGAGCAGGGTTGATTTAAAATGCTTTTCTTTATTCTTAGAAATGCTGTAAAAATTGATATAAAAGGTTGAGCATGCTCAGTCTTTGTTTTTTTCCATCCTACTGTCTAAAATACATGGGATTTTGAATCATTTTAACAGATGTACCATAGCTGCATCGGTATGAGTAAAATGTAGAAAAGACGAAAACTACCATTATAAAAATAATTTAAGGGGAGAGAAGAAAAAAAAATAATATATTTAGCTTTTTTTCCCTTTTTCGCAAGTTTCGTGGTGAAAGACCCAGGCATCGCTCCACGTCGCTGCCCCATTCCGAGCGCGGCCGCGGGCCGGCAGGTCCCGCCGCAGCTCCGCGCCTCCTGCCGCGCCCGGCCCGGCCCGGGGCACCGCGGCACGGCCCGGCACGGCTCGGCACGGCCCTCTGAGGTATTTATCCACCGTCTCCCGGAGTCCGTCTCTCCGTCCCGCTCCCCCCCGGTTACCGGCAGTCGGTGCCCGAGCCGGGCTGCAGGAAGGAGGCGCTGGGCAGCTGCTTGAAGAAGTGCCGGAGGCTGGTCAAGTCCCGGGTGAGCTGCTCGATCTTCTTGTGCAGCTTCTCGTTCTCGGCCGAGAGCTCCAGCAGCTTCTGCTGCATCTCCTGGTTGCGCCGCTTCGCCTTGTCGCGGCTCTTGCGCACGGCGATGTTGTTGCGCTCCCGGCGCTGCCGGTACTCGGGGCTAAACCTGTCCACGCACTTCTTGCCGCCCCGCTCCTTGCCCCCGGCGGCGGCGGCGACCGGCGGGACGCCCTGGGCCGGCCCGGGCACGGCGGCGGCGGCGGGGCCCGGCGAGCGGGTGCTGCAGCTGGAGGGGGAGCTGCTGCCCGGCGGCTCGGGGGACGTGGGCGGCGTGGGCTGCCCGCTCAGGTTCATGATGGTCTGGGCGCAGGTGGCGATTTGCGAGGGCAGCAGCGAGGAGGAGAGGTCGCTGTCGCTCCAGTCCGGCTCCTGCTTCAGAGCGCCGCGGGAGGAGAAGGAGGAGGAGGAAGAGGAGGAGGAGGAGGAGGAGGAGGCGGTGCGGGGCTCGGAGCCCAGCAGGGTGGTCATGGCAGCGCCGAGGTCCTTGGCGGGGTCGCGGCCGGCGCCGCCGCCCGGTGGCAAGTACTCGCCGTATTCCCCGCCCCGCTCGGGCTTGTGGTTGCTGTTGAACAGGTCGGCGAAGAGCTCGTCGTTGCAGAGCTCCAGGTTGGGCACGGCAGACATGGAGTCAATGTAGGAGCTGAAGTCGATGGCGCTCTCGTCCTCGTACATGGCCGGGGCGGCGGCGCTGAGCTCGGCCAGGTTGGTGCCGCTGCCCCCCAGGCCGCCGCCCGCCTCCTCGCCGCTCATCCCGCAGCCGCCGCGGGCCCCCGGCTTGCAGGCGGGACCCGGCCCGCCGCCGCTGCCCACCTTGGCGTCGTAGAAGTTGGCGGGCTCCAGGCACCAGCTCTTATAACATGCCGGGGAGTCCAGGCTGTAGAGAGCGGCGGCGCTCATCGGCGAGCGGGACGCGGCGCCGCACGGCCGCGGCGCGGGGGCTCCGGGGCGCGGGCACCAAACGCCGCTCCGCGACGCTCGCAGCTCCAGCCTCCGTCACGGGCAGGTGGGAGCGGGGCTGCTGCCGCTGCTCGCACCGCTGCCGCTGCCGCTGCTCRGTGACACCGGCGCTGCCGCTGCGGCCCCGCCGTCGCTTCCCCGAGGGGGCCGATCCGGGCTCGGGTCACGCCGTGAGCAGCGGTAGGAGGCGGGGATGGGACAAGGCGTCTCAGGACCTGGGAGTGAAACGCCCGCTCGGTCCCTTCTTATACGGCGCGGGCCCCGCCTCCAACCCCAATGACGGGGAACGACTGTTCCCGGCACCCCCGGGGACCCGGGGGCGGGAGCGGGTGGGGTGCGCGGCCGCGGAGGCAGGGCTGCCGCCGCAGCGAGCTGCCACCTCCCGGCGGAGGGTGGCCGCGGTCCGAGGTGCCCCCACGGCGGGCATGGGACGGTGCGGGTGTCTTTCGGGTGCCTGCCGCTCTCCCCGCACCGTCCCGTCCCGGGGAGTGATGCCCTGACACCGGCGCCCCATTCCCCCGGCTGAACGTTAATTTTTCCCTTTTCCCCGCGGGCCAGCGGAAAAGGTGGCTGAAAAGGCTGATTTACCCCGCCAGCACCATCACGCATCTCCCCACGCACTTCCCCGGGGCGCCTTGGATGGAGCGATACGGGGAAGATGCTGCCTGCCCCACGCGTGTCTCTGTGTATCACCCGAGCGCCCTCCCGAGGCTCATCTCCCTTCGCTGGAGCACGGGCAGCTTCACCCGAGGATTAAATCCCCCACTCCGGGGAGAGGGTGGCCACTTGGATTTCCTCTGGCACGACACTCGGGTGGGAAAGGGGTCTCTGCGGCATCTTCAGCTGCCTCACGCTGTCTGCATGAAGTTATGCCTCTTAAAACCTTACMTTAAGTAATTACTCGACCCCCTCCTCGAATCCCACAAACTTCTGCTATTAAACTGGCAAGTGTCAGAGAAATTAATATACTTTCAGTTAAAAGAAAAGTTTTGTAAAGTTACATCGTTAGATTTTTTAAAACCCTGGCTTCACCCCCAGGTGCTCCGCTGACTGAATTACTAAAGAAACACACAACAAAACGCCCTTATTTTAGAAAAAAAAAACATTTGCTTATTTATTTATCTTCCAGAAGACCCGTCTATATTTAAGACAGAACCATCTCAGGCACTGGCTTTCCAGCCCAGCACTCAGCTGACGCCGCTGGCATGGAGCTGTGCCCTGCGGAGCGCCGTGCCGCTCGCCCCGAGGTGRCTTTCTGGGGACCGTGGGTACGTGCCGGTCATGCCGGGCCTGCTGCCCCTCTCCGGGCAGGGCTCCATCTGCCGCCGCCGCAGCTGTTTCAGGACCGCAGCTGTTTATCACAGGGGTGTGTATTTTAACATAAGTAGCTGGGAACAGGACTGGTACATGCTCTGCCTTGGGATGTCAACTCCTCGTGGGAAGACTTGTGGGATCAGGGTAAGTGTGCAGTGTCTGGCAGGTAAGGTTTCGCTTGGAGAGGCTTTGCTTTTAACTCCAGTGCTGCCAGACGTGTTGTGTTTAAATAAACTTGATTTCCTTTCTCATCAGAAGATTGATCACATATCCTCTATCTACACCAGCATTAACCACTAAATGTCACAGTGACAAGAAATGGTTGCTTTTTTCCACAGTGTCAARGAATTAACCCCTTTTACATGTTATTTTTTGCCCTCTAGCACTGGGGTCTATTCACCTTGCACAACGCTGCATCACCTGCCCCTGGCCTAGCCTGGCCTGGCTGTCCAGCAGGGAATGTGGTGTTCTTGCACCCTTTTTCTCTGCATGAAGTGCGGAACAGTGCACGCGTGAGGCATGGGAAGGTGGTTCAGAAGTGAGAGGCAGTTTGATATCYGCTGTCTCTCCCCTTGCTCTGCT